CTGGATGTCTGAGCTGCTGCTTCACCCCAACAACTGGCTCCTTCCCCTCCAGAGCCCTGCAGAAAGGCAGCAAGGGATCCTCCTCCCGATCTCTTTCCTTGTGGGAATGGAAGAGCTCTGTTGATGGAAGAAACGTTCTGGAATCTCTTCTCCTGGCAGATCCAACATTGGGGGTGCCCCCACACAGACAATGTGGGGCAGGGAGGCTGGGGCCCCCTGCCTGCCCCTGCTCAGGTGCTGCCCACCTTACCTGCCCACCCTGCTCCCCTCTGCCCACCCCTGGAATTCCAAGGAATAAGCCCAGGCCCAGCTGCACAGAAAGGAGAGCAGAGATCCTGCCAGGGAGGAATTGTCTGAGCCGAGGGCAATTGAATCCATTGGGAAAGGCAGGCTCCAGGTGAGGGGGGAGCTGTGTGACCCTCCTGGGGGGCAGGAGGAGCTGGGGGAGTGTTGGGATGATCCCACCAGGGCCTGAATGCAGACTGCGTGCAGACTTTCTCCACAGGGTTTTGCAAGGGCACCCCCAGCAGTGATTAGTGAGAGTATTTAATGTTCAGTCGGACAGTGTGAGTCGGGAGAAGATGGATTTTCTCCTCCCCCAGGGAGCAGAGCTGCTCTCAGGAGCTGCTTTGCTCCCAGCCTGACAGCGCCGTGAGCTCCATCCATGGAGGCTTTGGGGCAAAGACAGAGGTGATGCCCCCTGTGACAGAACCATTCTGTCCTAAAATGGGAGAAATGCACAAAGAAAATGTGACAGGAGAGAAAGAGCCTGGGAGATGAGGGAGCCTGCAGGTAATGAAGTTAATTGGATATGCTGATTTGAATGGAACGTGCATGTAAGGTTTGTCATTAGCTTTCTCATGGACACATCTGTGATTTAAGGGAAGGATACCTAATGGGATTCCTGTTGCACTTGAATTCCAAGGGGAGAATTCCCCAGTCCCATTCCTGCTGCTCCTGCCTGCAGGGAATGCTGGGCTTCTCCCCAGGATGGGGACACGGTGAGGGATCCTGCTGGGGCCTGGGGCCCTGGCGCTCCTGTGTTAGCAAATTCAGATCCCACACGTGGGGTGGACTCGCTGAGGATCCTCAGAACCCCGCACACCCCTCTGGGTTTAGTAATGACCTGGAATTGGGTCCAGCCCAGCTGTCAGCAGGGGGGAACTTTACTCCCAGAATTTCACAGAGGGCCTGAAAAGCTCTCTTGGAAACTTTTTGGGTAATAATTGGCAGTTCCAGTTGTGGATTCTCCCATCCTGGAGGTTGCTGTGGGGGTCAGAGGATGCAGGACCAGGAGAATCACAAAGCACAGCTTTTCACTTCACTGCCATGACAGAAATCAGCAAGTTCAGGCAGTGCCTGCTGCTCCTGACCCTGGGAATCCTCTCAGGAGCCCCTCCACTGCCTCCCTGGCTCTTTCCACATGGAAGCCCAAAGTGCTTTGGGGCCCATCAGGCACCTGCAGGGGTGGGGAGAAGCTGCAGCTCTGCAGGAGTTAATGGGTGGCCTTGCTGCAGGACCCAGGCTGGGGAATCAGCCCCCTCATGCACCGACTTATTCAGCTGGGTTTTTTTTTCTGGCATCAGGAATTCCATCATGAGTCAGCCTGGTGGAAACACCCCTAATGAAAACAGACAGGTAATTTAATCATGGAAAGTTCCTGCAAAGAGATTCGATGTCTTCTAATGGGAGCCTGCTGGGAGGGAAGGCAGAGATATCCCAGCACCGGCACTGCCTGGGCACAGCACCCGAGGGCACCTTTCCTTCACGAGCTGTGCTGGAGCTTCATGTCAGATTAGATCCTTGAGTGGCTCCTACACGGCCACATCCCGGTGCCACAATGTGGTATTTTGCTAATCTCTGCTGATAAAGCCCAGCTTAGCCTGCAGCTGCATTGTGGGGGTATTAGAGAGCTCAGTGTGAGCCAGGCTCTGCAGGGCTGCAGCACCCTGCACCCAGCACATCCTGCTCCTCCAGCGGGGCTGCCGATGGCCCTGCCAGCAGGGATGAGTTTGGATTTGCAGATTATGTCATTAGGCACTTCTCAGGAGAGATTTGTAAACATCCAGCGGGGGGGAAGGGCTGGACGTGGCCCAGGCAGCTCCTCGGGTTCCTGTCCGAGTGTGGCAGCCCGCGGTGTGTCCTCCTGGGCTCTGCTGTCCCTCTGATCCATGTTTCCAGCTCGCTCAGGTGCCTCTTCCCACACCTGTGCTCCACCCATGCCCACCCTGCTTCCCTCTGTGCCCCTCTCTTAACCCTCCCCACGTCCATCACCCTGTCAGGAGAGGAGACAGGCAGGGAGAGGGAAGGGACAGAACCAAACAGGGCCCCTGGAGCCCCGTCCCTGTGCTCTCCTCTCCCGTCCCTGTGCTCCCCTCTCCCGTCCCTGTGCTCTCCTCCCCCAGGGCCGTGCCAGACGAGCCCTGGATTTGGGATGAGCCCGGAGGTGCAGGGCTGGTCTCACGCCCTGCTCCAGGGACAGCTCAGGAGCTGTCAGGCCCCAGGAGGGCACCCATACGTGAGGCAGAGGAATTATTTCCCTCTCCAAACGTCAACAAGAAGCTTCCTGCTGCGTGAGATGATCCCTTTCTTCTTCCTCGGCCACAGGAATCATCGCTCTTCTCTGACATCATCATTTGTTGCCATGGAAACCGAGCCCTGAGCAAGAGATGCAGTGGAGCATCCCCGTGTCAGTGGGTGCCCCTCGGCCTGGACTGTGGGCAGGGGGCTCTGGGGGCTCTGGGGGTTCAACACCCACCCAGGGAGGGGGGCAGGGGACTCTGCTGTCCCCTCATCGTGTCCCCTGGGCCACCTCACGGTGACAGAGTCCCTGAGAGCCCCTGGGCTGCTCCCTGTGGGGGCAGGAGGGCACAGGCAGTGCCCAGCACCCCGAGCTGTGCCCCAAAACTCCATTCCAGGCACCAAGGCCCATCCAAGCTCCCATTCCAGGCACAGCTCCAAGCCCTCAGCCGGGCTGGAGGAGCCGCCGGGCACTCCAGCCCAGAGCTGCAATTCCCAGTTGGAATTGGTCTGCACCAGGCTTGTCCAGTGGTATCTCTCTTTATTAGCCCTGTCTGACCTCATTACTAGAAAGAAGCTCAATTTAACGAGCTGCCGGTGCCCTGAGGGAACTCTGGAAAACAGTTGTTTTTCACAAAGGCTGCTGATCCTTCATGTCCGGCGCTTCCATTCCCGTCTGGCCATTAATCAGGCATGGTGCTGGCTGTGGAGCCCTGACAGCCCCGCGTTCCTGCTCTTTATTCCTCAGGTGATTTCTGTCCCTGCTGCAGGCTGGTGACTCAGGTGGCAGCACCCAGTAAGGCACTGGGCTCATACTGGTGTGAATCTGCCTCTAATTCCTGGTATTTCACGGGCGCTGTGACCATCCTAATTCTCACAGGTGGAATTAAAGCAGGATTTGACCTTCTGCCTTTTGGGGGATTTTGCTTTCTGAAAATTCAGGGCTTTCGAGGCAGGTTTGGGCTGGCAGCTTAATCCTGCCAGAGGCTCATGTGCCTGACTGTGGATGTTCAACAGACCACTCACATTCCCACCTGATGTTCTTTTATAGCACTGAACACTCGGGAGGAAAAGGGAAAAAGAGAGAAATCCAGAAAATAAATGTGTTTGTGTGCACCCAACATGTCTGTACATGGCAGGAGGCACCGGGGCTCCTTCCAAGGGGAGGATTTATTCGGAGAGGGTGCAGGGGAGCAGCTCTGCTCTCCCAGTGTGATCTCCCGGTATTTCCAGCTGGGGTGGCACCTCTGGGATAAGGGGTTATCCTAGAGCCGCGTTCCCTCTCCTGGATGGGCAGCAGGCGCATCCTGGCACATCCCGACAATTCCCGGCTCATCCCCGACAATTCCCGGCTCATTCCCGGCAATTCCCGGCTCATTCCCGGCAATTCCCCGACAATTCCCGGCTCATTCCCGGCAATTCCCGGCACATTCCCGGCCTATTCCAGGCACATTCCCGGCTTATCCCCGGCAATTCCCGGCTCATTCCCGGCTCATTCCCAGCACATCCCGGTTTATCCCCGGCAATTCCCGGCACATTCCCGGCTTATTCCCGGCACATTCCCGGCTTATCCCCGGCAGTTCCCGGCTCATCCGCGGCTCCCCGGCCCAGCAGCGCGGTCGCTTCCAGCCCGTGGCTCCCCCAGCCCCGCACACGCCGCGCTCCCATCCCGCGGCTCTCCAAACACGCAGATCCTGGTGGGAAAGACAATGTAAAGAGTTTGTTTATCCTGCTCCCCTCCCCGCGCACAGCCCCCGAGGCCATCAATTATTAACTTGGGTAAGAGAAGGAGTTTCCTCCACGGCAGCGGCTGCTGGCAGGGATGGGGCTTGTCACAGCCCGGGCAGGTTTTCCTGCGGGAGCAGGGAGGTGTTTTGGAGGGATGGAGGGATGCTTGGACCGTGTGGTGCTGTGCCAGAGCTCTGCCCGCTCAGCACAACGGGCTGGGCTGGCCTCGCCTCGCTGGATCCTGCAGACAGGAAAGTGGCAGCAGCATCTCCAGGTTTTAAGCGGGGATGATGCTCCAGGAGGATTCTGCGGCAGGAAGAGGTGATGGAGATTATCCAACTGTCATTCTATAGGTGTCTAGAGAATTAAAAAATACCTCTGCAGTATCTTGGCTTTGCTGTCGGCTGTAGAGTTTTGTGGTCTCCTTTCAGGTTTATTTTAGAGAGAATCTTAAAAGTTTACAATTTTCCTTCCCCCTGGATGGTCAATCATGGCTCACTGGCAGTCTCTGTGCTCACCATGCAACCACAAAACTCTCATTATTTCTCCTGGATTGGAGAAATCACAGTGGTTGCAGTGGAGACGGAACCTTTGCTCCAGCTCCTGCTCCCACACTTCCTCTGCTCTGTCTGCAGTTCAGAGCTGAGATTTTTAGATTCATTCCTTTTCCTACCTTCTCCTAACCCCCAAAACAAAGGCAGAATTTGGCAGCTGCGAGGTGCCCTCTAACCCGTGTGTGTTTTCTGCTGCAGATCCGGGCGGACGGGCCGCCCCAGGGCGGGATCCAGTACGAGGTGGTGCCGGTGTTCAAGGACGGCAGCCCGGTGCTGCGGGACATGGCCTTCTCCAGCGACCACAAGTACCTGTACGTCATGTCAGAGCGCCAGGTGAGTGCTGCTGCCCTGCCCTGCCCGGGGATTCCAGCTCCCTCCCCTCAGCAGCGTGCTCTGGAGCTCAGCCCCGAGGTGCTGGATGGGGACAGGGCTTGGAGAGCCAGGGGAGCTCGGGTTGTTCTGCCCCTGAGCAGAGGTTGGCATCAGTGCTGGGGGGAGAGCTGAAGCTGCTTGTCCCTGGCTGGAAGTGATGGGAACTGGGCTGGTTTGGGGCTCAGAGCTGCCCCTGCCTCGGTCCTGAGCTGCAGGGATTCCTTGGTTATAAAGTCATTTAAAAGCAGGGAAAAAATGTTTGAGAAGAGGGCAAAGTCTTCTCCCTGCTGAAAGCCTGAAGTGAGTGAATCCCTGAGGCTGAGGAAGGCATTTTGTGCTTGTTGGAGACACTCAGGGACAGACACTTGCATGAGCAGCCCCAAATTTCAGATCCCATCCAGCTCGGGCTGGGATTAGATGGCAATAATGAGGATCTGTGCAAACTTTGCAATTGAATTATTTAATTCAAATGTCAATGCTTGGTCACTTTGTGCAGGAGCCACGTGCTGCCCATGCTCCCAGCAGGAAGGAAAGGGCCCAGTGTGGCTCTCAAACAGTTGAGGAACTGTTTTCATTAGGAGCAAAGTCCAGGGGGAATGCCTCTAACTCATCTTTCATGAGGCAAGAGCGTCTTAATATTCATCAAAGCACTAATTTGCTTAATTGTGAAACAAAAAGATGTGAAGAGAATTAGCAAATAATAGAATATTCCTGGAACATTAATTCCATTTTCAGCCACGGCTCTGCCTTGGGGAGACTCCAGGAGCTGGGGGCTGTTGCTTCTCATTCCTTGCAGGGTTTGCCACAGGATTTGCCTGTTGCCCTTGCAGCAATGCGTGCTCTGGGTCCCAAAATCCCAGCACCTGATGCATATGGATCCTGTCAGCTCCTGTGACCCCAGTGCCCCCATCTTGCAATGTGATAGGCCAGCAAAGTGCAGCCAAGATGATATTTTTCCCTGGTTCTCTATAAAGGAGGCTGATGATTGAAAAGGGGTCAGCAGCAAGAGGAGGAGGGAGGTCCAGCAGCTCCAGAGGGCTGAGGCTGTAAATGGTGGGAGGTGCCCTCAGAAGGACCGAGAATATACAGCAAAAAACAGCCTCTGAAGGCTGGAAATGGAGAACAAACCGAAATTTGCCACAGCAGAATGCCACAGGGAGCAGCTGCTCCTAGCAGGGCTGTGCTGCAGTTAACGTGGGGGGAGGATTGTCCAGAGCTGGGGTTTGATGTCTGAGACAGAAGCAGGCCAGTGCCTGTGTCCACACACAGCCCTTGAGAATGGCTGGGGGGGTAGAATTCACCTGGGGAAGGTGTTGGGGTTTGTGGAACTCACCTGGGGAAGGTGCTGGGGTTTGTGGAATTTACCTGGGGATGGTGCTGGGGTTTGTGGAATTTACCTGGGGAAGGTGCTGGGGTTTGTGGAATTTACCTGGGGAAGGTGCTGGGGTTTGTGGAATTTACCTGGGGAAGGTGTTGGAGATTTGTGCAATTCTCCTGGGGAAGGTGCTGGGGGTTGTGGAACTCACCTGGGGAAGGTGCTGGAGTTTGTGCAATTCACCTGGGGAAGGTGCTCCCCAATAGCTGCTGGCACCTCCTGAGCACCTCTGGGCATGGGGACAGCCCTGGGACAGCCCTGGGATGGGCTCTGGGGGCAACCCCAGGGCTGTGGGGATGGAGATGTAGAGCTGGAGACGTGGGGATGGAGGTGTGGGGATGGAGCTGTGGGGATGGAGCTCTGGGGATGGAGCTGTGGGGATGGAGCTCTGGGGATGGAGCTGTGGGGATGGAGCTCTGGGGATGGAGCTGTGGGAATGGAGCTCTGGGGATGGAGCTGTGGGGATGTGGGGATGGAGCTGTGGGGATGGAGCTCTGGGGATGGAGCTGTGGGGATGGAGCTGTGGGGATGGAGCTGTGGGGATGGAGCTCTGGGGATGGAGCTCTGGGGATGGAGCTCTGGGGATGGAGCTCTGGGGATGGAGCTCTGGGGATGCTTCCCACAAAGGATGGAGGGAGCTCCTCGGCACGGAGCCCAGCTCCCTTCTGTGCAGGCAGCAGCCAGGACCAGCTTTGTGCAGAACTGCAGGGAAAAGAGCCTCTCCCTGCTCAGATCTGGAGCTGTGGCTGCAGGCACAGCCCTTCCCCATCCCCTGGCTCCTGTCCCAGCCCTGTCTGTGCTTTGCTCCAGTTTTTTCCTCCCTCTTTTTTTGAGCTCTCCCTGAGCCTTTCATGTCTCACTGCCAACTCCTTCCAAAGCAGAATATTTGACATTTGATTTCACTCCCACAAAGCACAGAAGCAACAGTTGCACAGCCCAATCCGGGGGAGAGAGGAATAAAGAAACTTTGCTTCCAGGCACTGGGAGCTCTTGAACCACTCGGTTTAAGGGTGGTTATTAGGAGCCTTCAGGTTCCTTTCACACAGCACCTGGTTTCAAACACTCAGAGGGGAAAGGAGAAGTGGTTCTGACACTATTTAAAGCAGGAATTCATTTCTCAGTGTTGGTGGAGCAAACAAAGCCCATTTCTGCACACAAGCTGAGCAAGGCTTGGGGAGAGCTGGATGGAGATGGAGATGATGATGATGATGGAGATGATGAAGATTGAGATGGGTGGCATTGCAGGAGCTTTGTGGGGTTCCAGGGTGGGAATAGCACTGGGTCTGGTGGGTGCTGGCAGAGTTACTCTCCCCAACATGCCAGTTTGTGGGTCCTGTCCCCAAATTCCGCATGGGTTCTGTGGTGGGGGGACCAGCAGGGTCACCGTAAGGGGACCCTGGCTCTTCTCAGCCACTCAGCATGAGCTGCTTCATTTTTCACAGACAAATTCAATTAACAGCTTCTATCAGGAAAAAAAATACAGAAGCACACATAAAATAAAATATTGACGTGGAATTGGTCACGTTGCTGCTTCACTGGTGAGATGTGGGGTGCACCCAGGGCTGATCAAACAGCAGGTGAAGGGTTAATGGCAATGTTTGACAAATGTCGGCCACCAACGCCCCCTGATTTGAAAATTCCCATTTTGTCACAGAGTCTGTCACAGAGCCCACACCAACAACCCCTGCACGTGCAGAAAATCTTCTCTGCTTTCTCCCTCCCAGAGGGAAGGGCTGCTGGTGCTGAGGAGAAGTGGCTCTGTAATTCAGCCCAGGAGCATTAATTGTCTGCGTGTCAGCAGGGCAGTTGGGTTTTCTCAGTGTCTGGAAGCTCCAACTCCATCAATCCTGTGGGATGAGGGTGCTTTGATGGCCCCAAGGCTGCAGGAGCCCTTCTGCTCCCCCAGGCAGCCCAGCCCACCCTGGCAGGGCTGTGGGCATTATGTAAGCATCAGCAAAACTGGGGCCAAAGATTTTCGCAGCTCCTGACAGAAGAAGGAATTTGGCTATTTTTAAGGCAGGAGTGAGAGGAGCTCAATCAAACCCAGGGCAGGGATTGCTGGCTCCAAAAGATTTCACCACCTAATCAAGGGCTGCAGACGTGGGATGTAAATCAGCAGGATGGAAATGCTGGCTGGAAGGAAGATGCTGGTGTTAGTGGTGAGGAAAACATCCCAGGAGGGCCCTTTCCACCCCAGCCTGTGCTTCAGGGGCTCCTGGCAGGTGAGAGCTGCAGGGGCAGAGGAGCTGGTGCTGAGCAAGCTCTCCCTCTGCCCTCACTGCCTCTTCCCTGCCTGAAAACAACCGTGCCAACACGAATTTTCCCTTCCTTATTTCCCAGCTCTTGATCCCTCAGCTGTTGGTGCTCCTCAGGTGAAACCTCCACGTGGGGTGCTGGGGGGAACAGCAGCACCTTCCTCACCAGGCACTGCCCAGGGTGCTGGAAGTGCAAAATTCACCTTGCAGAAACATCCTCCACAATTCCTGCACCTTCCATGGGCTCAGGAGCTGCTGCCAGCCCAGCTGGGCTCACACCACGGCTCATTCAGCCACGGGGGAGGATTGCCCTCTGCTTTTCTGAGGAGGGGAACAGAGCAGCCTCCTGCTCTGGCTGGGAGCCTCAGCATTCCCCAGGCAGAGAGAAGAGCCCAGAACCACCACGAGAATGCCAACGAGCACAGCAGAGCTCTGAGGGAGCCCCTGCTGCTCCAGCAGTGCTGGATGTGCCCACCGGGGCTTTGGAGGGCACAGGTTTGTGTTCTTTGAGGGAATCAGAGAACCACGGAACGGTTTGGGTCGGATCTTAGAGCTCATCTCATTCACCCCAGGTTGCTCCAAGCCCTGTCCAAACTGGCTTTGAGCTCTGCAGGGATGGGGCAGCCACAGCTCCTCGTTTATTCCCAGACCTGTTGGTTTTCCACTGACTGAATTCCCCCCTCATGCTCCACATCCATCACTGTGTCTTTAGGTAAAGAAATTGTCTTTTAGTCTGCTCTGGGAGCAGTGAAATATTTGCTTTGCAAGTGCCCCTGTGCCAGGAGCTGCAGCTCTCCAGGGATGATTTGTTGTGCATTCCCCTGTCCTGTAACCCCCAGAGGCTTCAGTCCTGTGCAAACTGCTTTGCTTTGGGCTGAACTTTCTGGATGCTGAGGGAGGGGGAGGCAGACAGGAGCTGCCCAGATGATTTAGGAGAGGTTGGATTGGAGTGAGAGCTGAGAAAAACAGGGGAACCCTTCAGTCCTGGAGTAGCAGGGCCGTAAATACCCATGCTGTCCTGAAGAGAACTGAGAAAACACAATAAAAAATGCACGAGATGTGGATAAAAGGGTCTGGAGCCATCAAGAGGGAAAAAACGAACTGATTAAATTTTGAACTACATTATCTGCTAGCTGGACAGGCAGTTAGCTGGACATCATCTCAGCAAACTTTGAACACTGGCACAGGGAGAAGGGCTCGGCTGGATCCCACCAGAAGTGTCCAAAATCCTCTCTCCCGTGGGCTCCTCCACCTGCTCATGCTGATCCCATGGGCTGGGACAGAGAGGGAGCTGGGGTGGGCACAGGAGCCCCTGGAGGAAGGGCTGTGCC